CCCTCAACTTTGGGGGTCGATTTCACCCCTTTAATGTTGACCATTGCCGATAAAAAAAAATACGTATCTATTATTTTTGTCTACTCTATAAGTGTGCAAAGTTTCAATGAAATCGGCGAGTCACACAAAGGTAGGTTTACTTGTTAGATTTGTTTAAATCCTATCGCTCTCTTATGTTTTTTAAAATATGCCACTAATATAAATATTTGTGTATCATAACTGATTATTTGAAAAATGATAATGTTGTTTTCGGTTTTTCGATCACGTAACTTTTCCCTACACTGAGAAAAAAATGCTGTTGATTCAATTAAAGTCTATATTACGGGCTGTCACTAACATAACTAGTTAAGTCATGTATATTTTTACCATATTGACATAAAGGCATAAATTATTATTTCAGTAATAATCAAGCCTTTATGTCAATAAAATATACGCATGAATTAATTACTTATGTTAGTGACAGCCCGTAATATAGACTTTAATTGAATCAACAGCATTTTTTTCTCAGTGTAGAGCGCGAGTGGGAACATGAAATTTTTTTGTATATATATGTGTGTATATGTGCATACGAACATACACACATACATAAAAATATTTATTTTTCACGTTTTCGCTCTAGAAAAAAAATTATATGCCCATATAACACAGACATTTTTTCAATGTTATTTCAACGTTCTATGCTGTATTGCATGATTGATGTTCAGTGCTGGGTTCAGACTCCCACCCGAGTGTTACCCAGGTATCACGTCATCTTAGTTGTTTACCGAATATTAAGTAAGGATAACATGACACCCAGAGAGCACCTGGGTTGAAATCCGAACATGTCCCAGGGAGTCGATTTATGTAAACAATTAAAAATGGCAATTTTTTAGTTATGTGCATTGCTCTGGCAAATAAGCAGCATATACAAATTTTCATTTTTTAGATTTTCGCTCTAAGGAAAATGTTATATGATCGACATCCTAGGAGTTAATTGTGTATTTTGAAATGAGGTGAAAATTACAAATTGCAAATGAGCAAATTCACTTATAGGTATTGAGCAATTAAATGATGAATATTTGAGTGAAATATGATTATGAATATTTGAGTCTGCTCACTTCTGTAATTTTCACCTCATTTCAAGTTACATAATCAACTCCTAGGATATCGATCATATAACATTTTTCTTAGAGTGAAAATCTAAAAAATGAAAATTTTTATACGCTGCTTATTTGCCAGAGCAACGCACATAACTAAAAAAAATTGCCATTTTTAATTGTTTACAGAAATAGAATAGCTTTAAAGATCTTTATCCTGATAGATCGACATAACTGGGTTAAAACTTATCACAAGAAAGTAATTATGTCAATATATTGCATTATCGCATTTTGTCAATTGCTTTGCTTAACAGTTGTCAAAATGATACAGAATCGAAGTATACAAGGTGAAACCAAGAAATATATCTTGTGTGACGCGAAAAACACTTAAAATATCAGTTGGATATTGCAAGATTACGGCAAATATAAAAAAGTAATCCAAATGGACAATTTTGTTTAATATTTTCATTAACATTTTCAATGCGTTAAAAATTAATATAAGATCATATAATAAACGCTCGTATAATATATATATATATATATATAAAATACGAGGGTCGTTCGAAAAGTTTTGAGCCTGAACATGAAAATGGCATTATTCGTCAAAACCAGGTACTACAATCGTACGTGTTTTGAAAGGTATCTGTAAAAATTGTAACCATTTTGGACGCTCAGTTGTTATTTGACAATCATTTATGCCAGTTGATGTCAGTGTTTTTGTTTGATGAAAATTTCTGATAATAACCATTTTCAGTTAAGGCTCAAAACTTTTCAAAACGACCCTCGTATATATTATATAGTTGTAGTCCCGTTAAATTTTTCAAACAAAATTATATATTATATAATTATATGATTGTATAATATATATTGTATAATTTATATATATTTATATTAATATGTATTATAGTTGTATAATTACATACATGTGTTATATATAATTTTATTATGTATTATATATTATACGTTAGTTTGTTATGTCACCTTATATTAATTTTTAATGCATTAAAAATATTAATAAATTTATTAAACAAAATTAAAACAACAAGATAACGACCAAAAACGAGCATAAAAGTTGTTAGATTACAATAGAAATATATATTTGAGATACAATATCACTCAATTATGACAATCTTGTGTTTCGCGGGTTTTCTCCGTGTTCAAATCCATTCTTGGAATGCCAACGTTATTACTCAATTCTTATACATTAAAACGTTTCGACTCTCTCATAGAGTCTTCTACAGTTAACAATACAATTAATCTAATAATCTAACCGCAATTAAAAAATGAAACTAATGTCATAATTGTATCATAAGCAACTAAAGTGTTATCCCACCATGTTCATAATGATATCGTCATGATGAGTATCATTGATTCCAAAGATAGAAGTCAAATGGTAAAAAATAGTCTTATATTCATGGTGTGAATTGATTAAGATAAGCTGTCAGGACCCTGCTAATAGAATATAGTGAAATTATATCATTCAGAGTCATTGAAATTATATAATTCAGAGAATTGTTCGTAACGGAATCCCGACGTAGATATTATTGTTATTAAACAAAATTGTCCATTTGGCTTACTTTTTATATTTACCATAATCTTGCAGTATTCAACTAATATTTTAAGCACTGAGAGAAAGGATTTTGTTAATTTAGCAAGCTATCAGTACCTTTAACCGGTGATCGGTAAATATGTAACAACAAATTATGTTGTTGTGATTGCTGCTAGTCTGCTATACCAACTAATTATTAATAACAGAAACAAACTATATAGAATCTAACCTGTCTTTTGGATAGACTTTAGCTCGTTTACATAGAATTCATAGATGATCGTGGAGTCTTAAGTTGTAGGAAACCGACCAAGCACAGTCAAATATAGGGAGATTACTTGACTAGGATTAATCAATTTCTTACGATTTGAGACCCTGCAACCGTCTACGACTTATATATATATATATATATATATGAGCCTCTTATTTGCTAGCGATACTATTGATTATTTGTTACATTGACGAATTAATTTGCAATTATAACAAATCGATTGTTTT